AAAACCATCGATTATTTTATCATAGATTCTCGAATATTTCGTTATTACGTATTTCATTAGAAACATTTTGGATACGATGTATAATTTTATTACGATTGATCTGTCCTTGTCTACAAAAATTGCAGAAGAATGGTTGCCAAATGGTGATCTATTTTGGAGACATCCTGTTGAATATTTGCGACACTTTATAGACTGAATTAAATAACTGAATTAAGTAACTGATTAATTTGTTTGAAAATCTTAAAATTCAATATATTCCACGTAGCGTTTTTTTTTCACTCTCATGAGATATGTCAAGGATAACGATTAAAAATAGATTTTATTCTCGAAATGTCAGAGCGATGAGCACTCAAATTTGTATGCACTATGCATATTTATGTGGATCGCAATCTATATGAAGAAATCGATTTTTTTTTAATCGTCGATCAAAAAACATATTTTTTCCCGTGTTAATCTCGCGAGATAATGAATTCTCTTTCCTTTCTTTCTCTCATTCAATTAAAATCAACGTTGTATTTTGTATTTGCTTGTATTTTAGTAAATTAATTATTAAAATCGCATTATATAGAATCACAAAATTACTAATAATTTACTGAAACACAAGCAATTCAGTAGGAAAATATACATGCCGCATTAACTTTCATTTACAAAGAAAAGTTTTTAAATTAAACAAAATGCATTAGAATAGTCGAACCAAATGGATATTTAAATTAATAAATAATGTGATTATGCATGTGATTTGCACTAAAATTAAATTTTTTTATTAAACAAAATATGTTTTATTTAAAATTAAATTTGTTCCAATGAAACAAAATAGATCGAATTCTCGAAAGGACTCTCCAAACAAAAACTTTTTCTCTGTGTAAATAAAACTTTCGAGTCCAAACAAATTTTTTTCTCTATGTAATTCTATTTTAACACAACTTTTTATTATTCTGCTTTTCCGATGATAATGAAAGATAATTTACTTCGTCATTTTTTTCGTAACAGAATGCATAAAATTAAGGAAACACATTGACATATTATGGCATATTATGACATTCATAACTTACGTTATTATCATCATTTATGTCCGTTACAATACAAAAAAGGGATGAACTGAAATGAGCTACAAATTCAAATGTCACATCATCAACAGTCGTGTTTCTAAATCTCGACCGCGATAGGTCGGCTCGATCGTGCGTGCGCGGAAGCAGCGGCCAATCACGGAGGTCGACGCGCGCGTCTCCACATTTACGCGAGTGATCGATATATCGCGTGAACCTCCGTATCGACCTCTCGAAAGTCAGAGGACGCACGCCGCTACCGTCGGGAATAATGCACTCGATTGCACTCGGTCGATAAGGGAGGCGAGGCGAACAGGTGACGACATCGTTGTCATACTCGTGATTTCATAACACGCCATTTTCTTTGTGTGAAGCGCTGGAGCGCGGAGGTGTTTTCACAGGCCGTGTTCCCTGACGAGTTCCCCAGGTAACGTGCCCGTCTGGCCCCAACGTTTCCCCGGAATTCGCGTCTCGCGCGGAAGACGCGCGGTGTCTTCGACCTGGATCGCGTCTGCCCATCCGTGGACACGCTCGCGCCGAGTTCGAGTATCCCGAGTGAACCCGAGTGTCCTGAGGCTTTCTGCGTGTGACAGATTTCGTCGAAGGCGTTGAACGTATGGTGGAGCGGATTCCGCTCGCGCTACGTCCGCTCGTCTTCTTGTCGTACGTTGCATCGCGGATATTCCTTCGAAGGCGCGGATCTCGGGAGTGTCGATCATTGGTGACTGCCAGATATTTCGCGCTCGAACATTCTCGCGAAGAAAGCTCATTCGTTTTCTCTCTCGTTCTGTCGCTTTTTTTTTTTGGTGAGCGCGTTGTACTACGTCATTGCCACTCTGAATCTTTCCCTCATTAACGTTGTTAGATGATTCATTTAATCGAATTCATTCTTCTGAACATTCGAACTCCTAAGTTTTCGTGCAGTAATAATTGGTGACTTTTGATTCGGTGTACATGATAAATTTATGTAAATAGTTGAAAGATCGTGGGTGGAATGTAATATCAGAAACTGATTTATTTCCAATATTTACAATTCAGAAAACAACACCTGGTGCTTATCCTTTATTATTTGAAAAATTATTGCTTTGTAACTTGAAACTTTTAAAAGTTTAAAGATTACATGCATTTTAATGTCTAAGCAATAATATTTTCTAAATTATAAATTGAATATTACAAAATTATAGTAAATTTAATTTTTACAAATACAACTTGTAGAATATTATTTTTCTTGATTTGAAGCAATAGAATTTTAAAATTTCATATTTGCTTACAAAACTATTTAATTACATTTTTATTATTTAAATTACTTCGATCTTAATTTCCTATAAATTTTAAAAAATTTATGGAGATATGTTACCTCTAATTTTTGTATTTATTCATATACAAAATGTATAAATTATATGTATGTCTGTTTGTATCTATTACACATATAATTAAATTTTTACATATGATATTTAATATTAGATGTAGTAAAAAGAAATCCATTATTTTTCCATTCAATTTTATGCAAAAATAATGGATTTCTTTTTACTACACCTATATTATAATAATATAATAATAATATTTCAACTTAACTTTTTTTCATAGAGAGAATTTGAAGGATTCATGTTGATATCAATTTTTGTAAAATGAGTCATTAAAAAATTTCTTCCAATTTGATCATGAATTGTCACATTTTAATATAAAAGAAGAATCTAAAATAAAAGAAATTTAAAATAAAAAGAATTTAAAATAAAAGAAGAAATAATATAAAAGAAAATATTAGAATAATACCCTTAATCTACTTGATATGATAAGAAAGTTATGTATTAGTCATAGTATGATTCTTATTTTTAAATAGTACACTGAACTTTGCTCCAAGCACTTATTCTTGCAAGAATTAATTTCTAATATTTTATATTTTTTTTTAGCAAGTATGGCATCCCGCAAGAAAGTTTTACTGAAAGTAATTATCCTTGGGGATTCGGGAGTTGGGAAAACTTCTTTAATGAATCAATATGTCAATAAGAAGTTTAGCAACCAATATAAAGCGACAATAGGGGCAGATTTTTTGACTAAGGAAGTGATGGTAGAGGATAGAATAGTCACTATGCAGGTAATCCTCGTGCTTAATTTCATTATTTTAACAAATCGTCAGTATCTTGTATTTTTAATGGAAAATCTTTTTGTCTTAGATTTGGGATACCGCTGGACAAGAGAGGTTTCAATCATTAGGAGTGGCTTTTTATAGAGGCGCAGACTGTTGTGTACTGGTATTTGATGTATCGGCTCCAACTAGCTTCAAATCTCTAGATTCATGGAGAGATGAATTTTTAATTCAAGCCTCGCCTCGAGATCCAGACAACTTTCCGTTTGTCGTGCTCGGGAACAAAGTAGATCTTGAATCAAGAGCAGTGAGTAAAATAATTTTTAAATCTTCAAAATAATTTTAGTTTTGTACAATTTAATGAACATGCAAATGTAAATATTATTTAAAATCGAATACTTTCATTTAATTTAATAATTGCAATTTATGTCATTTTCCTTTCTATATCTTTTTTTGTTTTAGGTCTCAAGCAAGAGAGCACAACAGTGGTGTCAATCAAAGAACAATATTCCATATTTTGAAACTAGTGCAAAAGAGGCTATTAATGTCGAGCAAGCTTTCCAAACGATAGCTAAGAATGCTTTAGCTCAAGAAAGTGAAGTGAGTATATCTGAGGCGCAGAGTTTTTTCTCGATCCATTCATGTGTATCTCAATTTTATCTTTATATTCTTGCGAATTTTAGGTCGAACTTTACAATGAATTCCCGGATCAAATCAAATTGACCAACGACCAAAGAAGCAATGGTAGAGGTGATTCATGTGCTTGCTAGGTCTTGGAACAGTGGTAATATCTCAAATGACTAATAAAGAATGCACAGGTCAGATACACTCACATCACCTGCGGCATAAAGGATGCGGAGAATATTGCGATGAGCTTTATGTGTGCAGGAAGTCATAAAAATTTTTTCTTTATCTCAACATGTTATTATACAATCTTCCTCTGTGTCCATAAAACAAAAAAAAACGTCTCAATACAATTCTCAATATAATTTTGTTGAAAGTCACGTTAGTGCACGGTAAAAAAAATAACGAGTTAAATCCATACGTAAAGAAAATGTGTACAAACTATCTCGATATATATATATATATATATA